TGAGTTTTTTTTTTTTTTTTTTTGCTGCAGGATACTCTCAAATAATCTAGATACAAGAGGCCAAGTTGTGGATCCAGATTATCTAAGAGGGGTTAGGGGGAAACAAGAAAGAATGTTCCAGGAGGGAGTGACAGTGTCAAGAAGACTCATTTGGCTCACCTACAAACTCTTCTTGCTTTTATTTTCTCACCAACGTCCGGATCAACTCCTCTTCCCTGTTCCTCTCTCTCTCTTCCCATTTTTTCCTCAAGTAAAAAAAAAAACCTCAACTATCCTCTTCAATCTCCAACCTCATTCTCTTCAGCTTCTTGACATCATGAATCAATTAAATCAAGCGCAAATTTAGTGAGAAATATCCTTTAATAGATAAAAATAAAACACAGCTTCAGAAAGCACCAATCTTTTTGTCCATCAGTCTACTTCTCCTTCTCTAAACTCTTATCTAATTAGTTTACTTATTCTTTGGTAAATTTTTTTCTTCTTTTTCTTCATCTTGTTCTCTTTCTTCTTTCATCTAACTGTTTTATCTTTTCAGTTCTGTTTCAGTCATAAGCAATTTACTGTTAATCTTTTCATGAGTTCGTGCTCCATGTGGAAGGGAATAAACCCACACCAGAGCTACATGTTTCTTTCCCGGCATCTTCACATCACCCATCCACCTTTTTTTTGGGAGGGTCTTGTTGCAATGAATCTGGGACAGTAGCGCACGAGATGAGTGAGTGGAAGGATGAGAGAGGCCTTCCAGTGCATAGAGAGCTGAGATGAGAGAGATGTCACACATCATGACATAAGACAAACAGATGGAAGCAAAAACCAACGGAGATCCTCTGATCTCAACAGGTGTTGTACACATTGTCCTTCATTCCCATGTGTTCAGCTGTCGACCTTCCCACATCTATCCAAATGATGAAAAATGACCTCTTTTCATCTCCGCAAATGCTCTATCCATTCGAGTAGATATGCAACAAATGGTCAGGGTTTTGTTAATTCTGTTGAAGGAGGACATAGATCTTGTGGCTATTTCCAGAGTGACACACCTCCCGCCTTGATGATTTTTTTCTGTTTGACATTAGCGTAGCTGAGAAGAGACCTCTCCTTCCTCCAGTGCTCGACCACGATTATCAAATCAAAGCTTGGGGGCGCTGCTTCTGGCGTACAGATCTTCCTAATTGACATGAAGCTGCTGACAGGTTTTTTAGTCCTTCTCTAAAGGTTTTCAATAATTACTTCTCCCAAAAAATCCACATCAAGAGGACAGGACAAGAGGGCTAGACGCAGGAGAGAAAGCTACGGGTTTAGACGGAACACAAGGCATTTAGCGCATCCTTCGTCGAGCAACTATACTCCTTGACGATAGCGAAGACCTCCTGTTGTTGTTGGAAGCCCAAGTCAATACAAGACATGTAGGAAATGGGATGATTTCATGTACCTTGGCTCTGGGATGGTTTGCGTCAGCCAAGAGTCGATAGATGAGTGTTTCGGTGGTGGTGATCATGCCCCCGGCGTCTCGGATAGACTGACCTAGCAAGACGTCAGTTCGAGTGTCGAACATAATAGAGGACTCGTTGGGACTTAACCTGAAGGGCCAGCGCGCGTTCCTGGAAGTTACAGCTACTCACAGCATCGGCGACGACCTAGCGGAGATGGGTGAAGGAAAGAATGAATAAAGAGATGTTAATCAGGGGCAGCGGGAGAGGACGCACATGGACGTGGAAGCCATCGTGCAACAAGTCCAGGCAAGTCTGCCAGACGCAGATGTGAGTTTCGATTCCGAGCAGGACAGCGTGAATGGATGGAGTCCCTGGTTGCCGTAGCACAGGAAGGGCGTCGCGGATCTCGGGGATCAGCATGCTGAATTGCGTCTTAGGATATATCCTCGCCCCGGCGCCGGACTCTTGGGTTGCATGGACCGGCGGGAGATACTTGGCTAAGCTTTCGACGGTAGGGCCCAGAGCTGTTTGCATCCGCCACACGGGGCGAATGGGTCAGGAAGACGGCGGTAAGGATGCATCTCTCAAAATCGACTTAATACCTTTAGGGTTTTGCTCGGTCGCCAAGATCGGTACGTCTAGTTTTGCGGCAACCTTTAACTGCTCGAAACGCGTGTCTATCAACCTGAATGCACCGTTTCCTTGGGGGTTGAAAAGCCAGCCAGTGTTGACTTACCATCTTTTCGGCCATGTTTTCGATATGTGTGAAGTGGCTGATCTTCGTTCCTTTTCAAGCCAAGATTTCACCGTCAAAAAAAAAGAAAAACAAAGAACGCTGCGTGTTCGTTGTTCGCGAGAGTGTATAAGCTGAACAGGAAACCCAACTGAATCTTTCTTGCTGGGGGCGGAACGAGTCAGTCGATCGTCTGAAGGCGAGTCACTAATACTTCGCACTTGGCACTCACCATGTCACATAAGAGGATGACCGTCTACAAACGGAATGCACCTGCTCCTCAGCTTTCTTGTTGCTCATGTCGAATGAACGAGGGAAGAGAAGACTGACGTTGCGTGGTCTCATGATGATGATGGTGGTAGTTAGGAGTCCGGCGAGGCGTCCCCCCGTGGGGTCACTGCCTCTTCCCGGCGCAATATGTCGTCGGAGTATTTTTCAAGATGGGCGAAACACTTGCAGTGCAGACAGTCTCAGGAAGGCCTCTGCCAATGAAATGTGTGTGTATGTGTTGAGTCGGGATGGCGATGACTATGTACTTCGTACTGTGGTCCGGTCAAGTGGCAAATGGTGAGGCCGACGTTGCTGTACTATCCCGCCGTCCATGGAGGCATGCCACTATAGGAACTTGTGAGCGAAAGCCTGGCACACCTTCAACCCAACCACGCTGACCAGCAACCTTAAGCTGTGGAGGAGATGGACCCGAAGGTCCGCCACCCTACGCAGACAACAAACTCCATTATATTAGGACATCCTTTTCATCTTGCTTAGAAAATGGCTGTTGTAAAACAGATCCCAGAATCACTCTTTCGCTGTTAGGGACTACACTCGCTCGATTCTGCTTGTAATGATACATCAATATTCGTCGTTTGTCTTCATTTCCGGCGCATGTGCCGACGACCCCAGGCGGTGGCGGTGGCATAGGCCAGCGCAGTCTCCTGCTCACCATCATTTTCAGAATATGACCTCCTGATCAAGGAAGGCCCACTACCCCTCTTCAGGTGGGTAGGATCTTGTCTCGGTAATTTCTGTACCTGAACTTCGCTTTTACTTCCCATCAACCAGCATACAATAATACCATGTGACCAGGGATCACTTGTTTTCGCCACTCCGAGAGATCAAGAAACCTTGCCGCAATCTTGTAATTCACCGTACGTATCTATCCGAATAGAGTCATGTCTTTTTTCTCCCATTCGGCCCGGACCGCGATCTCGCAAATTAGTGGCGAAGAAGAATGAGCAATTCTTGTGGGTTCCCTTCACGAATACTTTCTGCTCTCTAAACACTCGAAATGGGATGTCATTTCTGAACATTCGTGTCTTGGACCTACTTGATCAAAACAAAAAAATTGTGTTTTTGAAAGATGAAAGCCATCCATCTGGCCGTTCTTCGTCCTACAAAAATCACAAGCATCATTTCATACCGCCGAGGCGAAATGAGGAAAAAAAAAAAGAGGCAGTCTTCCGATATCGATCATACATACGCCCATTGAAACAGGAGGAGACATTGATACATGGCAGACCTGATGACTGTCGTCCGAGAACCCGTGCAAAGAACGATCTCACATCCCTCAAGTCTACAATAGTCTGCCCTCACATGAGTGTAAACACAACGATGGAAAATGCCGTTTCGTCCTTTCTCCGTGTTAGGATTACACAATCACTCACCTCTGGATATTTACACTATGTGTTATCGGCTGTACCCCCCAGGGAATTCGAAATCTTGAAAACATTCATCTCTACTGTTCATCTGGCTTTACACTCCAGCGGAGCTTGGGTATGATGTAATTCATATTAGCCATTTCGGACTCCGCTAACATCGAAATATACAGGGTCTCAATAGCTCAGCTGGGAGAGCGTCAGACTGAAGCCAGCAGTCAATCTGAAGGTCCAGTGTTCAAGCCACTGTTGGGACATTCTGTTTTGTTGTTCCTGCAGGGATCGGTACACACTGAACTTGGTGCGGCTATTCTCCTCTTTTCCTGATCATGAAGCAGATATGTGGACCACAATGCTTGCAATAAAAAAAACGAAAGGAACTACATAATATATGGAAGGCCAGCTTGATTGGGTCTAAGTGTGTTTTTTGTAATTTTTATCTTGCCAAACTTATGCCCAAGCATCGTAGCTGCAGTTGATTATTGGTTTAGGAAAAAGACTCACAAAAATGTAAAAAAAAAAAAAAAAAAAAAGTCAA